CTACTCTACACTGCTCAAAACTCGTGTTTGAATCGTCAGTGGCAAATCCTTTAAATGAAAACGTACTTACGTGAGTCAGAACTGCTGGCATTTTAGTCTAACGTTACTCTCCCTGGATCAGTAAACAGTCCTCCATAAAATGTGCTGCACACATCTGAATATTTGGGTTGAAGTGTTCTGGAACAGTGTTGTAAATACAACTTAACCACTGATTTCTAGTCGTGTCGCTTTCGCTTTCACAACGAAACACACAGCGTCTCCATGACATGGCGGCGGCAACAACAATACTACAGCGAGGATAAAAGTTACGCCTTCTTTCTTTGGGTGGACATTTGGGCGGCTTTATGCAAATCTTCCCACATCGTGATGTAGATATGTGGGGGCGTGTTAGAATGAGCCGTTTTAGGTAGGTGTGGCTGACTCTTAACTTTTATAAAGAATATCTCTTTGGATTTGAGACTTTAGTCTTTGCAACTTTACAGATCTTCTTTATGCACCAAGAGCTTGTAACACTCCAAAGAGAAAGGAAAAATTTAAATCGCATCATATGACCCCTTTAAAATCGTTCCGATCACTACAATCTTAACGCAGAAACGTGCGCCTTGTTGCTAGGAGATGCATGACAAATTAAAACAGTGTGTTCTAAAATTTGCTCAAAATTTCAAACATGCAGAGCTGGGTAGATTACTCACAAATCGTAATCCGTTACTGATTCCAAATTACATGACAAATTGTAGTCAGTAACGTAATCCATTACATTACACATTTTAGGTAATATATTCAATTTACTTTTAAATTACTTTTAGATTATCTTTGACCTAACTAAATTTTCACAATGATTAAAACAAGATAATCTTGTATCATAATGATGTAAAAATACAAAGAGTGAGAAAATATGTTCCTTTCATTGTAATTAACAACAAGTGCATTAAACATTATATTACGCCAAGGTTTCCCAAACTGGGGTTTGTAAAGGAACTGCGGGAGATTTGTGAGTTTAATGAAAGGCTAACAAGTAATTAAATCATAAAAATGTCAAATTAAAATAAATCATTTTAAAATAACAATCAAAATAATACCCTTACCAAAAAATTAAATATTTTATGTTTACCTGTACGCCATATGACCATTAACCAATGTCAGAGAATCTTGAACATGCAAATGCGATACTTAATTATTAAAACATTTATTTTAAAATCTCAGGGGGAACTTAATTGATTATGATTTCACTTTTTTAACTTTAGTTAGTGTGTAATGTTGCTGTATGAGCACAAACAACATCTGCAAAGTTACGATGCTCAAAGTTCAATGCAAAGGTAGATTTAGTCTTTTATACAATTGCTGATTGACCACCACTCTAAAGTAAATATATAAGGTGAAAGAGGTTTAGATGACAAAAAGTTTGGGAACGTCTGCAAATAAGAAATAACGAGAATTTGTGCATTTTAATGAGTTTGAAAGACGAAAGACTTTCAATAATGCATAATACATGGTAAAATAACCCACTGAGTGATAATTTTAAAAAAAAATGAATGTGTTCATCAGTACACTCTAAAAAAATGCTTGGTTAAATACAACCCAGTGCTGGGTAAAATAGGGACAAACCCAGCAATTGGGTTGTTTTGACCCAGCGGTTGGGTTAAATGTTTAACCCAGGGGTAGGCAAGTTCGGTCCTAGAGAGCCGCAGTCCTGCAGAGTTCAGCTCCAACCCTGAAAACAAAACTCACCTGCCTATAGCCTTAGTAATCCTGAAGACATTGATTAGCTTGTTCAGGTGTGTTTGATTAGGGTTGGAGCTGAACTCTGCAGGACTGCGGCTCTCTAGGACCGAACTTGCCTACCCCTGGGTTAAACATTTAACCCAACCGCTGGGTCAAAACAACCCAATTGCTGGGTTTGTCCCTATTTTCCCATCACTGGGTTGTATTTAACCCAGCATTTTTTAGAGTGTATAGTTGATGCAATGTTGAAACACTTCTAAAACATGAAATAATTTTTGTAAATCCATTGATCAAATGCCGTGTCGCCACCTGACTAATGACTAGTCGATGTGTGAATGTCCACAAATTCTATCTGTTTTATTTTTATTTATTATATAATTAAAAAAAAACGTGTAGGCTACTACGTTTAAGCTAACTAAGACTTGTTATAGCACTTGCATGTCATTGCTCTTTTGTTGATTGCTTCCATTGTCCTCATTTGGATAAAAGCGTCTGCTAAATGACAAAATGTAATTGAAAGTGTGTTCTTTGACTTTACAGAACATAACATTACAGAGATTTTCAAACCAGCTGTGCACGTCAGGGCAAAACAAGGGCTTAAACAATATCAAAGGCTGCAGAAAAATGGTAACAAATTCCCCACACGCAGTAATAATCTACTGTCTATACTGTACAAGATAATTTGGTTAAGTTTAATCTTTTTACTTTCTGCAGACGGAATTCCTGCATTGGATCGCATTCACTGGGACAACATAAACGGCCAGTTCAGTCAGGAAGGGTTAATGCGCCTGAGCCCCGACGGAGAAATAGCGGTGCCACAAGACGGAGTTTACTTCGTTTTCTCTCAGGTTCATTTCGAAACACAATTAGGACAGAGTATGCACTTTACGCAGTACTTATACAAGAGGACAGCGTCCTATCCACGACCAGTGATGCTCGCAAAATCTGTAGTGACTCCCTGCGCGAGCGCTAACTCTAGTGTACAGCTTTATTCCAGCCACCAGGGGCGCTGTTCCGCTTAGAAAAGGGCGACAGGCTCTCATTGCACGTGCTGGATATTAGCGCCGTGCGCTTCCCACAGGAAGCCACTTATTTCGGGGCATTCATGATTAACTAAGCAAAACAGCAGCGTTTTGTTTCAGTTGATTTCTTACGGAGATTATGTACTTGTCATTTGTTTTCCAGAGAAATATTAATAAAATATATGTGTACTGAGATGATGAATAACACTTTTTTTTGTAACCAAACCAAACCAAGACTGAATGTTTTTATGCAATGTTTATTGTAAATTAAATTCTTTTGTATAATGAAAATACGAATAACAGTTTATTTTATTGACATCAAGACTTAATTTTGCACTGTTTTAATGAAATGTTTACTGTAAATTAAAGTACATAACATATGTAAATTATAGGATTCAGTCCTGTTGTTATAAGTGTAGGTGATTTTAGTCGACAGACAAAAGAGTTCAAAAGCAGTATAAGAGAATTTGATGTAATTTATTAAAGAAATTAAAGAAAGCTATGTGATTAAACACAGATGTCTTAAATGAAATGATCCTGATCCTGTAAAACAGGGGTTCTCAACTCTGGCCCTCAAGGTCCACTTTCCTGTGGTACACATATTCTAAAATCCAATATAACAAATATGGGGAAACATAGATGAACACTATAGGCTTCTCTAGAATGTCAATGGCAAGATTTCCTCTTCAGGTGAAAGATGAAGATGTTCAGCCTGTTTTCTTCTGTTTAGAAGCAGCAGCCTGACCCTACAATGGGGAATGAATGGAGAGCTTTATTTGATAAATATTTTATATTCAAAATGTTGCTAAATGCAGATCGACAAGCTTTACAGAAATCACAAGGCTGTTAGGCTATGTTTAATTATAAAACATTAGGCATTTTAGTTTAAGAAGATGCAGATCTGCATCAGAACAACATTCAGTTGTTTATGTGTTTCAGATTTTGACACATCATAACAAACGCTGCACAGAATTGTAATTTATTTCTGTTATGGAATTTAAAAAAAAAACAGTTCTGACCTTCGGTGCTTTGAAAATAAGAAGCTTCCTCAGGGTGAATTGGGGCTGAGGGGTCATCTTTGCATCTACTATATCATTGTTCTTTTTTTTTTATAATGCCCTCTTTACGGCTTACATCGTTATTGACATTAGTGAGGATCCTCAAGATGTC